TTCCTGTAGTTCCAGCTACTCAGAAGGCTGAGGTGGAAGGATCACCGGAGCCCAGTAGGTCGAGGCTGAGGTGGCCGGGAGCGGCCACTGCACTCCAGTCTGTGTGACAGAGTAAGACTCCAACTAAAAATAAATAAATAAATAAATAAAATAAATTACGTAACAAACATTAACATAACATTAATTTAATAGAAACAAAAAGATCAACAATATAGGTTATGTTGATCAGCAGCAGTATTTCTCAAACAGAAAACCACAGATTTACTCAGAGATCTAAGAGTGCTCTAGAATTTTCCTAATGATGCCCTAAATAAAAGTAATAAAAAATACATTGAGTTACCACATAATTTACATTTGTTTTAATGACTGCATTGGTGTCGGGTTAATATTTAAATGTCCAAGGGTAATGAGAAAAGAGAAAAGTAGTCTTGGCATGTAAATGCTGCATTTGCACCAAGGAAAAGGCCAGTGCGAACCTGGGGCCTGCTGCATGAATTCGATTTAAGAGCAGATGAAAGAAGAGAAAAAAGAGCTGAGTCATGCCAGGCAGATGGGGGTGGAACCCAAGCACCAGAGCTTGACAGCAGGCAGTACAGACCCACAGTTCAAGTGGGCTTGGTCTCAGTAACACAGGCACATTAAGATGGGCGCATTAAATCGGTGAGGCTTATCTGCATTGCACTGATGTTATCGTTTTGCTTGTATTTAGTTTATAAATTTGTTTTAGTTTTATAATTGTTTAAGTGCTATATGAAGTGTACGCCTCCTTTTGTGCTTATGCATATTTAAATGAAATCACTTAAAAGCAATCTTAATTAAAATCCTCCCTGTTAAGCCTTTAGAACTAGGTTCCTTTAGGGATCTTGGAACATTTCTCTAGTCTGAGAAACACAAATCACAGGGATAATTCCAGTTCCAGTGAGGCCAGGTATGGATTTATACATATATAATCCAGGCCAACCTGACTCACTTCTGTAGCTCCAGATCTAATTACTTTGAATTTAGGAATCAAAATTACTAAAAACAAAAAATAAAGCCACACCATAAAACAGCAGCATATAAAGTTACGCAGTCTTCTAGTTTAGGTACCTACAAAAAATACGAGCATCCAGAAAAAGTGGGTTTAACCAGTGCCAACACCGAATTTCCTAATCTTCTCAGAAGAGATTAGTTTACTTTAAGCATTGCTTGCTTATTCTTGAGGGAAAAGGAAGATCTTGAATGTGTGATGGTCTGTAAAGCAACATGAAGTTTTGAATACTTCAAATGTAAAAGTGACTATGAGAAAAGTGGTAACAGGGACTACAAAAATAGTGACAGAGTCCTGGCATACCAGGACTTTTAAGTACATACTGGTGTTTTGATTGGCATAATGTCACGTCAGACTCAGCCAGCAACTCTGTCTGTACTCCTTGGGACTCTTTGGTCCCACTCCCATTCTCTGACTCTGTCCCTGCATCCTCACCCTGCATCCCTTAAACACCCACCTTCTGCAGCTCCTAGTCCCTCCAGCATCCTCACCTGATCCTTCCCCACCGCCCAGAGGTGAAAGAACCAGTTTGGGAAGCTGGCTGATCTCGCTACTGGAGACGGGAGGAGTTGAACTGGGGGCAGGGTCACCATCCTCTCAGTTGAGTGGTGGCTGAAAAGAAATCCAAAATTGGCTCAGTTAGGAGCCAGAGCCAAGGTTGCCCAGAGCTAGTGGTCTAGGGACCCCCACGGCTCCCCAGGGAGCCACCAGGGAAGGCAGGAGGACACTGAAGCCTTATAGAAACAAGGTGCTAGTGCCAGGAAGGGAAAGGGAGGGAGGGACATTCTGTTCAAATATACTGGAAATCTGTATGAAGGTCTATTTGTAAGTGTACAATTTGTAATAAGTCTACGAGTTTTTGTATTTGCAATATAATTTTATTTCACTGACTTTTATGCTGTAAATGCTGAAATTGAATATTTTAGAAATTATATTCACACTGGCATTTCTGCATTATGTGAAACAAATGTGAATAATAATATCAATGGATGCATATGAACTGATAAGATATGTGATCACCTACTGAGAGGCTGCTTGTCCTGGGGCTATCCATTGCCCAAAAATGAGTCTCATAAACTCAAAACTAACAAAGTACTGGTGGACTATATTTTAAGTCTCCATGCCTGAAATGGGGTTGCTTTTTAAAATATATGAAAGTTACACAATGGAATATGATGCAGCCATAAAGAAGGACAAACATGGACTTTGCAGCAACTTGGATGGATTTAGTCTATCATACTTGGTGATCTATCACAGAAACAAAGAACAGCGTACCATATGTTTTCCTTCATAAGCAGACCTTGAGCAATTATCACAATACTATAAGAAACGGATTGGCAGTAGCGGTAAACTGCCCTGGGGAGGAAGGGTGGGATTGGCAGTTGAGGGAAACTTCCAGGAGAGGGAGAGGCCCACCTCATCAACAAGGATAGCTACAATTTAATGAACATTTGTATACCTAGCCCTGAATTGTATCCCACATCTTTAAAATAAAAATAAAGTATATGAAAGTATATATGTGTATGTGTATATATATATATATATATTTTTTTTCACTTTCTAAATTATGTGAAACAGAAGCAATGCATAAATAAATAGAACAGAACTAGAGAACTGGGAACACCTCTTCTTATAAACACCAAGCCAACACTTCCTAACTGTGGCTGCAAGTAGGGCAAGAGGCACTGCACACACTTGTAGGGCTAAGGAAGAATTGCAACTTCCCCCGCCTCAGGGTCTGCCTCGTCTCACGCGTGCACAATGCTGGGGCTCGGAGCCAAAACACTGCCCCCAGGTGCCCCATCATGCAAGATGCCAAGCTTTCTCCAGCTTTTATTCTAGCAGGATTATCAGTGATTTCCTCACTTGTGCTGCCCTCTAGGGGAACCCACGGAGTCACTCATCCTATGTGTTTTCAAGGAGATGATGGCAGGTTATTGATTTGAAATAAACCACCTCTTCTTTAAAATAAGCAAAATTCAGCTACTTTAGACTGTTCCTTCTGCACACACACGTTATGTCCCTTTGCATTTTCACTGCTGCCTCTACACTGAACTGAATACTCTGCAAAGGTAGACACCAAATCCTATCCATGTGTCACTCCCGGTGACCAGTGACCAGGTAGATGATAAACATTAGGTGCTCAAGAGTTGCTCAGTGACAACCAGCTACTGAGGACTTGTGTTATGCTGAGTACTCAGCTAAGTAAGAACTTTCTTCGTGTTTAATTCTCACACTACATTGTAATTTTCATTCACAAATGAAGATGCTGGGCCTAGAAGAAATTAAGTACCTTGTCTAAGGCCATGGTCAGGAGAACACAGTGGAGACTTGAACCCAGCACATTTTACCTGGGGCATTTGCTCAGCTAGAACCAAGCTAGAAAAAGTAACACAAAAAGTCCATCTATTGTTCTTCTTATGATTTAAAAGTGATTAACATAAACCAAAATAGCACATGTGGGATGGTTTTCGTATTTTGTTAAAGTTCAAGATACCAAGAAATTTAAAATTCAATTTCTAATAGTACTGTACCTTACCTGACCACAGGAATCACAAATGGTCACACCAATTTTCTGTATTTCTACAACTAATTACTGAAGAGATGAGCATCTATTATTCAAGATCTGGTAAGATGTTTACTTATCAAATGTTAAGAGAAAAGAACTATAACATACTGTAAAAGTTGCTCCCTTAAATACCTCCAGTCAGAGACTGTAGTCATGATCATCTAGGTTTAACATGAGCAACTTCATTTTCAGGGTAAAAGAGATTTAGAGCTTGTTAGACTTATTTTATTTAGCATGAAGTCACAGATGGGGTAGATTAGCAGTCAGAAGAATTGACTCTTACTGCTAATGGAATTGGTGGAAAAATTATTTAACTTCTCTGGGGCCTCCATTCCTTCCATTTGTTGAAAACAAAGCAGTTCACCTAAAGAATTCATAAATCTTATTTTGGCCCATAATTTTATTATTCAATGAATAGTATTAACAAATTCATAAAACAGAAAAGCTTATTTTTTTCTAATTCCTAAACTTGAAGGTAAAAGCAGAGTTCATTGCTGGCCCCCATGTTAAATTTCCCAAGTCAACCCATTTAGAGCACTTTAACTTGTTTTTATTGAAAAGTATTTTTTCAGGGTAATCATAAAATCTTCTTTAAGGCTGGGCACGGTGACTCATGCCTGTAATTCCAACATTGGGACACCAAGGCAAAAGGATCACTTAAAGCCAGGAGTTCAAGACCAGCTCGGACACCAAAAGTGAGGATCCCATCTCCACAAAAAAATTTTTTTTTAAATTAGCTAGGGCATAGTGTTGTACACCTGTAGTCCCAGCTACTCAGGAGGCTAAAATGGGAGGGTCCCTTGAGCTCAGGAGTTGGAGTCTGCAGTGAGCTATGATCACATCCCTGCTCTCCAGCCTGGGCAAGAGAGAAAGACTCTGCCTCTTAAAAAAAGAAAGCAAATTACAAAAACATTGTATCAATGTCTTAGAATTTCTAGAGTAAAAAAAATACAACATTGCTAGCACTGATCATCTATTATTTGACCAAAAAAAAAAATCTTGCTTGTTTAGTTAAATAAGCCTATTTAAATGCCTTGCTTTTGGAAATAACTACTGACCTCCATAAAAGCTACAGGAAAAATACTGTCCTAATGTTGGTGAGGAATCTGTGAAAATGGCAAGGACTCACTCAGATGTATCTGCTGCATGTGGCTTCATGAAATACAAGAACCAACTGATCATTCTGTTTTCTGGCCTAACTCAAATTTGCCCATTCCCTGCAGATGAAGGAGCCTAAAGAGCCTTGCATATGTCCCCAGTCAGTCTGCAATCAAGCCAAGCAGCTCCTGCCATGCCAGTCCCTTGAATGGCATGTACAACAGCTGGTGAGGGGTGGATCAGGGATGTGTGATGTTTCCACACAAATAACCCTAAATCAGAGGGGCTTACGGGGTCCTGGCAGCTGACACAAGCTGACTGAAGTAGGTTAGCTTTCAGAAGACGATACTCAGCCAAGACCCTTTCCTCAATGTCAGGGGTAAATCAAGCTGCAGTAGGGACTATGGCGTATATAAGTGTCATCTAAAGAGTCACTGCTGAATTCCAACCAAGTGGTGCCATATAGGAAGACAGGTCATGTTGCCAGGTCTTCCAAGTTTCAGGAAAAACTAAAAATTCTTATTTTTTATCTTGATTTTTTAAAAATTGTGGCAAAACATAACATAAAAGTTACCATCCTAATCATTTTTAACAGTACAGTTCAGCAGTTTTAAGTACGTTCACATCATTATATAACGGATCTCTGAACTCTTTCAGTTTGTAAAACTGAAATTCTGTACTCACTAAATTAACCACTCTCCTTCTCCCTGCCTCTGCTCCAGCAACCACCATTCTATAATGTTTCTATGAATCTGACTACCTTAGATACCTTGATTTTTTAAAATGCTGGCAACTGATAAAATTTATAACATTTAGATGACTATCCATTTGTGACTCCTTATCATATTTATGACTATGTAATGCTCTTCAAAGTTTCAAGAATGCAAAAGCCGGGCGGTTACAAAACAGGTGAGACACTAACATCCAAGTCAAAGACAAATGATACAGCTCAGATGTGCTTTTCATATCCGAATTTATGCTCTGAAAAAAAAAAAGATTCAAGGTTTCAGACATGATTATGAATTCTTACCATCCCTGCTTGATGCAAGAACCACATGAGGTAGTCTTCCTGAATGTCCACGAGACTGGAAATCTCAGGAATGTAAAATGCATCATATTCCACATGCTTCACTTTAAGGTTCACCTAATGAAGAACAGAAAGAGGACAGCTAACACATGGCTTCCAGGGACATCCAGTAGGACATTTCACCCCTTCCCCTGTTCATCCCTTTCCCCGCAGGAATTGCCTATGCTTACCTTATATAACTTCTCTAAGAGTTTGAGAGCTGCTGTAATATAATTGTTAAACAGCATGGGGATTAAGAATGTCTTTCTTCCCCTCAGCAGATAAAGGACTGCACCTTTATAGAGGTTTACCAGCTTCATGAAATATTTCGGACACACCTGAGACCACCAGTTATCTTGAGAAAGAAAGAAAAGACATACATTTCAACATGTAATCTGCAATAAGTATAAATGTCTTCTGCCTACTAGTTAAAAACTCATCTGTCTAGTAGATAAACATTACTCTAATGTACTTTCCCAAAAATGACTTTTAAAAGAATCCACTAAAACATTTGGAGAGATCAGTGGCCATACAAGAATCTCTGGAGCTCTGTTAGCATCTGACTTTTTTCGAAGATTCATTCTGAAGGCTAACCTAAAAGTTCAATTCCAAGGCCACATGTGGACGAAATACACATATTTTGGGCAGGAGTGATGTCCACTGTATTCGTTGACTGTTCATATGTCCTAGTCCTTTCAGCCACCACTTAAATCCTTTACCAGGGATGCAAAGGATAAAGGACACAATCCAGAAGCAGCAGGAATAGGGCAACCATTCCTTTCCCTTCAAGAGGCATAATTCATTGAAAAATTACTATTTTTATTTTTTGATGGTTTCTTTCATCCATGCCAGCTTTGGCATGTCTCCCTTTCTTTTCTCTCATCTTTCTCTAATAAACTTTGTTTTAAAACTTAAAAAAAAACAAAAAAACTACTATTTTTATTTCTTACCAAACAATGCTTTCTCATAACCAGACAAGAAGGTTATGCCATCGGCTTCTATTTTGTCAGAAATCAACTCAGCCATACTGCAATACTTAAAGAATAAAATAATAGCCGGGCTCGGTGGCTCAGCCTGTAATCCCACGCTTTGGGAGGCTGAGGTGAGTGGATTGCCTGAGCCCGCAGGTTCGAGACCCGCCTGGGCAGCTTGGCGAGACCTCATCTCTACAATAAATCAAAAAATTAGCTGGGCGTGGTAGCGCGCGCCTGTAGTTCCAGCTACTTGGAAGGCTGAAGGATCCCCGGAGCCCAGCAGGTCGAGGCTGCGGTGGCTGGGAGCGGCCACTGCACTCCAGTCTGGGCGACAGAGTGAGACTCTAACTCAAAAAAAAAAAAAAGAATGAAATAATATGTCTGAGGTGTCCTTTACAATACTCCAGCAAAATAGAAAAAGGTAGATGGTGAGGGTGGGGGACAGATAAAATAAAAAGGGCAAAATACCGACATCCATTGAACTTGTTGATTGGCTACCTGTAGTGTTCTCTCTACTTTGAGAATTGTTTTAAATTTCAATAATTAAAAGTTAAAAATAAAATTAAATGCAAAATTGAACAATTCTGACCTCTCTATATTGTCCAACCTGAAGAAATAAACATTTAAAAACTCTAAAACTTAGAAGTCAGGTAGGTAGTATTTCTTCAGAGATTGCCATCTTCTATCTCGTGTGTATTACAACATCTGAGAAAATGTGCCCCAAAAGGCTTTTGATTGTAAAAAAAAAAATTGCTAACACATTACCAGTGCCTTCATTACTATTTCTGTTTTTATCTCTACGGCAAAGGTGGAAGCAATATGGAAAAGTCAATATTCCACCTCAGAAATACAGGTCTCTTTACTCATGAGGAGACCATACTCAAGTAACATCCAGTCCACCTGCAACACAGAAGTTACTGAGTTGCAATGAACACCTGAAAAAGTTTACCCGGGGAAGAAAAAAAAAAAAAAGCCAGATGATAGAGTTTCTGTACTTGATTAATAAAAACATCTCAGGTGCTACTCCCATGAGAGAGACTCCAATTCAACTGAGAAACTGAAGGTTCTTATCTCAGCAAAGTATCCAAAGTCTGCAAAAATCAGTATGGACTCAACTGCCCTACAAAAGAAAAACAAAACAAACATTTGGTAAGTCCTCACTGGGTCATTTTCTTCCTCATTTTTGGAGACCTCTGTGTCACCAAAACTGTTCACTTCACTACCACCCCCTAAATTAAGTATAGGAGAGAAGGAGACAGATGGATACTAATTTTTGAGGCACTGTTAACTAAAAACAAATGTAGAAGAAAAAAAAAACAGTTTAAAGTTGAATAATCTAAATTTGTGAATATTACAAAATCAAGATTAATATGGCATGAAGCATTTCAAACAAACAAAATAATGGTTCAATTTGCTTGAATTACAAATAGGGGTAACTACAAAATTAACATCAAAGAGAGAAAAGTTTAAATGTTAAGGATATTAAATGGCAACATACAGGTTCTTGGATCTCAATCTACAGAGAGCCCATGGTCACACCAACAAAACAAAGAAGTCTTAAACCGTTGGCATTAAGTTTAGCAAATTCACCTAGTACTTTGCTGGGGTTCGTATCCAGCCGCAGAATGGCCATAGCCAAGGGAATTGTCAGTGAGATGTAATACTTAGAGTCCTGAAGCAAGGGAAACTCAGGCAGGATTAAATAGATTCTCATCGCTTCAACGTCTGGTGGTGAACTTGACAACTGGGGAATCAGGCAACTTTCAAAGCTGTTTAAAATCTGCATGAGAGAAAGGAGTAATGAGAAAGTCAAGTGTACCTGAGATCTAATTAATTCCTCTATAAGTCCATTGAATAGATGCTCAACTCTAACTTATTCACTATGTACAACGAAAAGTCAAAGACTCCTGCCAGTGCAAACCTTACATTCTGGCAAGGCATTTCCTTAGAAAGATTTAAATCAAAAAGAAAGCAAAAGGTAGGTCGAATTCCCAAAGTAAATATTTTACAAAGTTAAGACTTGTACAAGACTTTTGCTTTGTCATTTATTTTTTTTTATCTTGAAACTGAGCTAGAAAATACAAAAGTGCATTTTTAAGAATATACTTTGTGAGTGTAAGAAACATACCTGTTCTAGAATCATGGAGTGCTGAGAATTCATTAACTTCTCAAATAACACCCTAGTTGAGTTCAGGTCAATTCCAGGAATTTTGGGGCTTGTTTTAAAGTGTTCATCGATTCTAAACAAACAAAACCGAAAAAGTATGTAATAAAAGAAGAAAAAAGCAAACACTCTGATAGCAATTATAATGAAGTAAACAAAATTGTCCTTACTAAGCAGATTTAAATTTGACCTGACAGAGAAGAGTCACAAAAAGACTACACTGTGAGGAAACCCAAGAAAATAAAGCTCACTGGAATCCCTTTCTCCATGATTTTAAGGTTTTAAATCTTTTTTCCCTTCAAGTCAAAGTACAAGGATCATCATTTCAAGTTGAGGTTATTTTGACATCTATAAACAGAGAGTTATTTCCCTGATTTAATCTTGTTGTTGTTGTTTGGCTTTTTTTCTGCAGCTGTGGTACATTAAAAGAGATGTAGATGCTGTGGCTGGTGTAAACATCCCCTGTGCAGACCGGCCTACTCATCAATAAGTTGCAAGCAGAACCTTCTTGGTGAAAGTCTTTCTTAACAAAGCATTTTTAAAAAAAATCTACCAGTTGGAGGCTCAAACTTCACCTGCACACAGACTAATTATGTATCTAATCCTGACTTGCACCAAACATTTTTACAATAAAATAAAGAAAAAATAATAATAAAATAAAAATCTGGCCAGGCACAGTGGCTCACATCTGAAATCCCAGCACTTTGGGAGGCCAAGGTGAGAGAATTGCTTGAATCCAGGAATTCAAGACCAGACTGGGCAACGCAGTGTGTGTGAGACCTCATCTTTAAAAATAAATAAATACAGCCGGGCTCAGTGGCTCAGCCTGTAATCCCGTGCCTTTGGGAGGCTGAGGTGAGTGGATTGCCTGAGCCCACGGGTTCGAGACCCGCCTGGGCAGCGAGACCTCATCTCTACAATAAATAAAAAAATCAGTCGGGTGTGGTAGCGCATGCCTGTAATTCTGGCTACCTGGATGGCTGAGGTGGAAGGATCACCAGAGCCCAGCAGGTCGAGGCTGCGATGGCCGGGAACAGCCACTGCACTCCAGTCTGGGTGACAGAGTCAGACTCCAACTCAAAAAATAAATAAATAAATAAAATAAATACATAAGTAAAATAAAATAAAAATCAGATCTAAGCCAAACAGGGTAGCTCACGCCTATAATCCCAGCACTTTGGGAGACGGAGACAAGAGGACTGCCTAAACCCAGGGGTTCGAGACCAGCCTGGGAAACTTGGCAAGACCTTGTCTCTACAATAAATAAAAAAATTAGCCAAGAGTAGTGACGTGTGCCTGCAGTTTCAGTTAATTGGAAGGTTGAGGCAGAAGACTCGCCTGAGCCCAGGAGGTTGAGGCCACCGTTAGCTGTGATTATGCCACTGCACACCAATATGAGCCACAGAGTGAGGCTCTGACTCAAAAAAAAAAAAAAGATCAGATCTATAACAAATACAAAGACAATGTCTCCCTTAGTTAATACAAGGAATACAATTACACTCACCCAAGAACTAATTTCACTGCTCCTGTTTTTAACTCTCTAGCAATGAAATCAGTTTTTTAACCTTAAAGTCTTGGTCTTTTGACACCTAGAGAAGCCTCTTAAATTCCCATTCCTGAGCCTACCATATCTATTAAAGAACTATCTATTTGCAAAACAGACTTCTGAGTAATGGACACATTCATATAGTTTTAACATCCTCTGACAGCGATGTTACAAGTTATGAAAACACAAGAGTTTCTAGCATTTAAAAAAAATCACAGTTATATATACTGGAACCCAAACGGTCAAATGAAGAAGAGTTGCTTGTACTTTGTTTGTCAAGTCTTTTGTGGTTGTTGTTCTAAAAAACAGATACCCAAAATGTAGAAATGTATTCTGGTTATCCATACATCACCTTCCACATGCTTAGAGATAATTTTTGCTATGCTGTTAAGAAAAAACAAAATGCTTTGTCTATATATATTTATTGCTTTGTAAAATTGGTCTTCATTTTTATTGGTTTCCTGTGATGCTTGTATAAACCGGGTGAGTTGACTCCCTGAAAGAGCACAGACATCTGTTTAAAAAAAAAAAGCATTATCCACAACTCTATGAAATTCGTGGCACTAAGGATGAACAACCCAACAAGCCTGGCCAAGAGCCATTCACAACCATCATGAAAGCCAGCCTTCTAGAATAGGGTTCCTCAATCCTGAGGATTCTCTCTTGGGCCAAGAGGATGTTGCAGCATCTCTGGCCTCTACGCACTAGTGCCAATAGTATATCCCTCCCCATTTTAACAACCAAAAATGTCACCAGACACAGCCAAATGTTCCATAGGGAGCAAAATCTCGCTGGTTGAGAACTACTATTCCAGATAACCAATACCAACATAAACCAGAATACCCTTTCCTAAAGGAAAAAGCCAAATACTAAATATGAAATGAATCTACAGAGCTCATTCCAGCTGCCTTAATCATAAAAGTATATGACTTTGTAATATCTAACTGTAACTAAAGAGAGTTTCTGAAATGACCTCTTACAACCCAGTTAGGGACACATTTGGGGGGAGGGCATGTGATTGCTAATTATAGGTGCCAACTTGATTGGATTAAGGGATGCCCAGATTAGCTCATAAAGCATTATTTCTAGTATTTCTGTGAGGGTTTTCTGGAAGAGATTGGCATTTGAATCAGTGGACTAAGGAAGATCTCCCCTCATCAATGTGGGTGGGCACCACCCAGTCAGCTGTTCGTTCTCTATCTTCCTCCCTCCCTCCTCTCTCCTTCCTCTCTCTCTCCCCTCTCTCTCTCTTCTCCCTCTTTCTCTTTCTCTGTCTCGTGCTCTCTGTCTGTAACTGTCTCTCTGTCTGTCTGTCTCTCCCTCTCCCCACCCCATCAGACCCCAAGAACTCCAGGTTCTCTGGCTTTGGGACTCCACCAGACCCTATGGTTCTCAGGTCATTGGCCTCAGACTAAGAGTGACACCTCAGCTTTCCTAGTTGTCCAGCTTGCAAATGGACTCTAACAGGACCTCTCAGCCTCTATAATCAGGTGAGCCAATTCCCTAGTGAATCCCCTCTCCTCTTCCTCCTCCTCCTCTCCTTCTCCCTCTCAGATAAACTGATAGATAAACAAACAGACAGATATATATACTGTATCTATTCTATTTGTTCCGTTTCTCAGAAGAACTTTGACTAACACAGGGATCAAGCGATAGGGGTGGGATTCACGCAGAACTGAAGTCTAATTCATCTTGAGATTTCATTAGCTTGGTCACTGACAAAAAAGGACGGAGAGATGACCAGGACTTGGCATCACCCAAGATCCAAGTTCATGACAAGGCCTGCTGCACCAGGTTTCTGAGGGAGATATTTGTAGGAGGGATAAGGTCAAGCAAAGAAACATTCTATTAACTACCTGGGAGCCCCTGAAGCATTCACACTTTAGAATACCCTGAAAATCTTTTTTTTTGAGTTGGAGTCTCACTCTGTCGCCCAGATTGGAGTGCAGTGACCTGCTGGGCTCCAGCAATCCTCCCGCCTCAGCCTTCCAAGTAGCTGGAACTACAGGTGTGCACTACCATGCCCAGCTAATTTTTTTGATTTATTGTAGAGATGAGGTCTCGCCAAGTTGCCCAGGCGGGTCTCGAACCCGCGGGCTCAGGCAATCCACTCACCTCAGCCTCCCAAAGGCGCGGGATTACAGGCTGAGCCACTAAAATCTTTCTTTTAATTATACCAATTCTTTCTGAGATAATCTCTCTCTTTAATAATCTGCTTCTCTGTCAATCAGGTATGAATCATCATTGTCCTCCTGATGTCCTATTATTCACCATTATTAGGGATTCCAATTTCTGCACAAAGCATTAGCTTATCCACTGACTTCAGTCCAACTACCATTAAAGAGAACAGTAGTCTTTCACAGCTTTTCCTAGTATTTGCATCACATGTGAAGTTTTTTTTTTAGAATATTTTTGTTTTAGAGAAATAGGGTATCACTATGTTTCTAGGCTGGAATGCTGTGGTTATTCACAGGCATGATCATAGAGCACTACACCTTGAGCTCCTGGGCTCAAGCAATCCTCCTGCCTCAGCTTCCCAAGTAGTTGGGACTAAAGGCACACATGTGGGTTTGTAAAGACTCTAAGTCACTTACTTTTTTTCAAGAAAACTTCCATTCCAACAGGCTGCAGAAGATAATATCTGAACAACACCACTGGTCAAAAGAAAAAAAAAGGAGAGAGGAGGCCTTTAATAATCACAAATAAATGGTTATTTAAGCATCACAATAGTCATGCTATTCTAGGATCTAACTAATAGCAGCTCCTTCTTAGCCAGATGAATCTTTGGAAAATGTACATTTGCTTTAGATAAACAGTATGTCACATCTCAAAATGAAGAAGAACTTAAGTTTTTCATAAGCCACATTAAAAAGAGAGTATCAAAGTTTCCAAAAGAAAAGCTCTTGCCCCTGACAGTATTCTGAAATATCTTTCTACCACCCTACCTTACCTCCAAACACAAAACAAAAAAGAAAATTGGAGTTGAAACTTCCCGAACACAGAAATTATCTGGGAAAATGAGTAGATGAACTACTACTTCCTTCTATTTTGTTGCCCATCTGAGAAACTAAAAACATGTAACATGACAGTTTATTCCTATTACCCGGGTTATACAAGTTCTGGACAAACAGCTACTTTCTGAGGACTCACAGTGAAATTGCATGTCGGGAACCCTAGGCCCTCTTATTCAGTGTAAGGAAAAGGGAAGAAATAAAACAAATAAACACTGGGAGGGGACTGCAATCACTTCTGTTCATCATAGGATTTGGGTCAGGAAGGATCTTTATAGACCATTTCTTCCAACAGTATTTTCATTTCATTTTTCATTTAATTTAATTTTATTGTTTGTTTATTTTTTATTTATTATTTATTTTTATTTATTTATTTTTTTGAGTTGGAGTCTCACTCTGTCACCCAGACTGGAGTGCATGGCCGTTCCCGGCCACCGCAGCCTCAACCTGCTGGGCTCCGGTGATCCTTCCGCCTCAGCCTTCCAAGTAGCCGGAATTACAGGCATGCGCTACCACACCCAGCTGATTTTTTGATTTATTGTAGAGATGAGGTCTCACTGCCCAGGCGGGTCTCGAACCCACGGGCTCAGGCAATCCACTCACCTCAGCCTCCCAAAGGCGCGGGATTACAGGCTGAGCCACCGAGCCCGGCTTATTTTTTATTTTTTGAGTAAGGGTCTCACTCTATCACCCAGGCTGGAGTACAGTGGCACGATCACAGCTCACCACAGCTTTGACCTCCTGGGCCCAGGCAATCCTTCTACTTCAGTTTTCCAAGTAGCTGGGACCACAGGAGTGTACCACCACACCCAGCTAATTCTTTTTTTTTCTAGAGATGAGGTCTTGCTATGTTATCTAGTCTGGTCCTGAACTCCTGCGCTCCAGCAACCCTCCTGCCTCAGCCTCCCAAAGAGCTGGGATTACAGGCATGAGTCACTGCATCCAGTTATTCATACATTTTATAAGAAAACAGAGAACTTAGGGTGTGTGCAGTCTCCCCTGCTGAACCCTGGCCTAACCCTCGCCCCTTTTTCTGACTACCTCATCCCACCCTGAGCTCATAGGCAGAGCCACCCTAAAGTTAGAGAGATTCTGAGGACTGCCATGGAACTAGGGCATTCCTAATGATCCTTTGCTCAAAAAGTTACTACTTTAGGGCTTCAGAGTTAGCGTTGTGGTCATTTTTCCCACTACAATCTAGGTTGTAAAATAGGAACTGTTATGTACATTTCTGGGAATGACCACAGCTTAGTGCACAGAGCTTGATTCATTTATTACCAAGAATTAGACTCTGCAGAAAAAGGTGGAAATGCTGAGGTAAGCCAAGGAAAATATAAAAATATGTGCAAAATATGCAAAAAAATTCTTTAATAATAAAATAAAAGGCCTTAATACTATTTAGTGTTTTTGTTTTTTTGTTTTTTTTTCTCTGCATGACTCTGAATTACCACCTCAACCATATGAATGGGAAGATGCTAGAAACTATTCTGATTGGGAAGGACAACAGCTGTTTTGAGTTCCACATGCTTTGGAATCCGCATATGAAGAAACCCATCAGGGTTATGCAACAGTAACACTAAGCTCTCTCAGCAGAAAGGCCAGCTCAGCCTTCATCAGTCAGGTTTCTAAAACCAAACACTGAACGAGGCAGGTGAGGAATACACTCTGTGTGAGAATTGGGAAATAACCCATTATGTTACTGGAGGCTATGGGGTCACCTATGAAATAGTTGCAAAATATATATATAATTACTTAAAATGTAAAGTTCCATTTAATATTCACAACATCAATACAGAAACAGGGAAAATCCCTAAGCTAGAACACTCCAACATACTTTGGAAAAAAAAATGAAGGCAAGCAACCACATACTTGATTGTATTTGCATTGTTGTGTTCTGAGAGTTTTTGCCTCCAAACTGCTATGGTTTCATCATTTATTAAACTGGTATAATGTGCTTGATTCATAGTCCTGAAGTCAACAGCAGGAGAAGAATTCTAGAGAATTAAACAAAATGGTAAAGGAGAAAAACGATGTAGCATGGACCTTTTCTCCCTCTCCTCCTCCTACATATTCTCCATTTTGTGTTTCACTTTTGAGTTAAATGCTGTGGTGTGACCGGATCCCCTCCCACTCTCAAAATGAAGGAAGGCTCCTCACAGCTTGAAGCTGGGCTGCTCTCTAGGACATGCCCTTGGCCCCTGCTTCACCTGGTCACATCTAATGGCAGGTGACCAAGGCCCAGCCCCCCGCCTCAACTCAGGCCTTCAGAGCTCCCTGTGGGATGAGCTGAAAAGCGTTTCACCTGCTCCGTCCGCCCAATCCCACCTCCTTCATCTCTGAGTAGGACTCTTCTAAGCACTCCCCACAAAAACTCAGTCTCAGAGTCTGTTTCCCAGAAAAATCAACTCAACACGATTTTTCCAGACTTCTTTCTTCTTTGCTTTGAATCGTCATAACAAAGTTTGTAAAGTATTGCTCATTTGCCATAACTGTTCACCAAACTTCAACAAAAGGCATTATAAAGAGTCAGAGTTCAGTTATAATCTATATTTCAAATAACATATGAAAATTTAATGCCTCTTCATTTCTTGCTCCAAGTATATTGCTATTAATTTATTTTTAAAATGGCAAACAGGATGTCAATGACGGCTTTGAAAATTCCAAATGCTGCCCTGCACTGTACATCCTGTATTCAGTGAGATTTTAAAAAGACACTATAAGCACCTTCTTTTTCTAAAATTGCTTGTTTTCAACTTATTTTCCCCAAACTCTGTTCTTTATCTAGAAATTTTTTAAAAGTTGATGGTGCTTTATACTTGTCACTAGTAAAGAGGAGAACAATAGCACTAAACCATTCATCCATCAACTCATAAAATGATCATTGTTTTCTCCTTTGTATCTAATATAAAAACACAACTTTCAAAGTAAGTTTTATGGGTTACTTTCCCAAAGTTGTGAGTTATGATAACATTAAAGGTCATTGCTTTGTTAAACTCTGGTGCATCCACATGGCCCTTTGAGCTGTGGCCACCATGTTTCTTGGCTTTGGCCATGTTTTCCTAAGCTTTGGCCCCCTCCCCTACCTTGGTGGGGGGGGGTGAATGTCCTCTGTCTTCTCTCTCTCTCTAATTTACTTTCTAAATAAACTATATTTTCCAAAAAAAGTTAAAACATGTATATAAAATTTTATATAAAAATATGTATAATTATATATAGAGAGAATTTTAGGGAGAAGGAGGAGGGGTTAAAACAATTCAGAGCTGCTTGACAGACTTTTTGATCATCTGACTTGACTATTCTACTAAAATGGTCACAGACATCTAATAAGAAAACAAAAAGCATCTTGAATTACGTACAGGAAACTCATGAGCCAAAGTAGGACACTTTAGCACACACAAAGATGGTCTCTCTTTCCATCCTTGTTTTAATGCCATTGTTGTTATGTAAATTTTAATTATCTCCCTCATTCAAAGGTGAAACTGAACACCAACTCTAACCCAAGAGTTACAATAACATATAGGCTTGGAACTATTTTCTTATCTTTCATTGCATGTCCAATAAACCACAGATGCTTTGGGTGAACAAAATCCCAAAATCACTTTAAGAACCAAGAAAAAAACATCATTTTTCCGTGCCTTTATACATACGAGGCCAAAACCAAAAAAGTGGTGTTCTTTATTTTTTAAATAAAAATTAAGTGCTTCCAGTCAGTGTTTCTCAATATTGGCTGGGATCTGTATCACCAGAGGAGCTTTCAAAAATCCTGATGGCCAAATCACACTCCAGACCGATCAAGCAGAACCTAGAGAGGCATCAGGATTTTTTCAAGCTCCCAGGTGATTCCAGTGAACATCCAAGGTTAAGAATCATTGTTCTAGGAAAAAAGATTGTATCACTGAGCAGGCTCTGAGATGAGCATGCACACTCACAATTCTAACAATCCAACCACACTCCCTCTTCAGTCCTATCCAGGGAACAAAATGTAAGGAAGAGAGAGAGGTTACAGCTTACATTCATGAAATTCTCAAAACCTAGAATCCAATGTAGCAAAGGAGTATCTGAATATAACTCCTTCCTTCTCTCTTTCCGCCTCAAGGTGGCGTTAATGAATGAGTCAGCCTTTCACAGAGTGGAGGCTGGGACTGCTCGGGTGCTTTTTCTTGGTTCTTTAAATGATGGGGAAACAGGGGAAGCACATGATTTGATCAGTCTTTATACCTATACACACATCTACAGCTAACAGTGTAAGTAAATGTCTACGGGTTTCAGTTTAAAAAATAAAGAACATCACCTTCCTAAGTAATATCCCATGTTGTTTCCTTTTTCTTGGTTGTCTTACATTTTTCATGTATACCCTCTTACCAGTCACCTAAACTTAAACCTGTCCTATCTTATGAACACGACTAGGCTATTTCACTTCCCTCTCATCACTTTTTATTATTTTTTATTATTTTCTAGCCCCAAGAGTGTTAATTACAATAACTTTAAAATTCAGTTACATATATCAGAAAACACACTTAGAAAAAAAAAAACTTTAGTTTTATGTCAAATTTCACAGGAAAATTCAAGTTGGATAACATTTTTTTCAAGTCAGTTACTTAGGGAAATGAATACTTAAAACTCTTCTACTTATGGACACAAAAATTATTATCCTGCACAGATTCAGTACTTTTCAAGCTTTGCTTAAAGAAGCAAAGAATACCTTCAGCTTTCTCTGGATTTTCTTGTAACACTGAGGCTAGGTCTAAAATAGGTCTAAAGAAGCAGTTTCAAAGCACCCCAGATGGCAGCTCTCAACTGTCTTCGTTAGGCTCCTGACCTGGACCTTCTCCACCAGAATCACAGAATCGTAGTGACAAGAAAACAAGAACTTTGACCACTTAAAGATGGCAACATGTCAGACTAACGGGAAGGGTTTCCAGGGCTGAAAGGGGCTTTGTTTCCACAGTTGCTCATTTTCCTCGCAGCCAATTCTGATTCCTTCACCATTACCAACAGCCCCTTCCCTGCTCCTCCAGGAGAGAGTAAGGATCGGTGCAGCACAGGATGCTAGTCCTCTTGAAATGCTTGTTGAACGAAAGTGGGAAGGGTGGGAGAGAGGAGGAGAAAAGAAAGGAAAGAAAGCCCAGGAACAGGGAAAGGACTGCAGGACTGAAAACAAATCTATAGAGCTTTTCAGACTGAACTCTCCATCCAGAAAGAGTGGAAAGAACTCAAGCCCTGTCACAGACGTGAGGATCCACATTCCACCCCATCTTAAGCTGGAAAGATGCCGTAACATTGTCCTTCCTGGCATATCCACCACAGTGACACAGGAGACAACAGGAGGGAAAGTTTGTTGTGGTCTCATGAACAGAATATAAATGATAAAAGATGTCTGAATCTGAAAATGGTGGTATCTCTTTTATATATACTATTATACTCAATCTCATCAAACAAAGAAACCCACTAAGTTCTCAAATACCTACTTCACAGGGAAGGAAAGAAATGGAAAGCTAATAATGCCAAAGTGAGTACAAACTCCCTAGTTTCCTCCTCCAAGTTTCCTCCGTAACAAATGTGAATATAAATACATAATTTTAAATTTTAAATGAGAGCTCCATGATTATAATACCAGGAAAATTATTGACCTCTCCAGGGAGCACAATGGAATTAACTTCTTCAAGGTTTAGTTTGTTTATCTGAATAAGATAAAATGGGTGAAAACGAGAGTAACATTTGCTCTCACGTAATTATTTATTAAAATAAATACTGGTTCACCATTATTCCAACCACCCAAAATAGTCAAAAAACAAGTTTTTACCTCATATTTGGAGCAAAGTACAAAAGTTTGGTCTCCTCCAGAGAAGATCTGCTTAACAATATGATATTTAAAGCGATCTGTCAAAAAAAGATTTGCAACAGCATATTTTTCAATAATTGAAGTTTCTCCTTGATCCCCTTTTCTAATATTCTAAAATCTGTTTCAGAGTAGTTTCCTATCCATTTTAATTATGTCAGAGAAGTAAGAAACCTTCGCTCCTGGCTCCCTGCCCAGGACTGTTTCTACTTCAATTAAAAATAAATATATAACATGTTACCCTCTACTTCACTCTACCTCTGCCCTCACCCCAACTGCAGGCTAATCCTGACCTCATTTCTATTTTTCATTCTAACTCTGCCATGCTACTGACCTGAAATCTAAAACGGGCACTCTTCTAAGCGGTCTTCTACACCTAACACATAGTTCAGCATCTGAGTGTGGTGAGCCCCCCCGCCCCCGCCCCTGCAGGATGAAGCTAGCTCCAGGAGGAACTGCGTGTCCTGCTCCCACTCCTATCACGTGGGGTCACAGACACTCTCAAGCCTTGACTTCTAGCTCATCATGTTCTTCCCCTACCTCTGTACCTCCCCCCACCACTCCCATGCCTACTGTAGTCTCCGTGAATACTCCTCCTTGGGCATCATCTGAATGTGCTCCTGGAACTGTGCACCTCTGTTGCACTGCACTACCTCACAGTCCTCCACCTGGTTAACTCCCAATCATCCTGGAAGACATAGCTCACGCTTCCTCTAACCAGAACACTACTTTTTAAATTTTTATTTTTATAGAGATGAGCTTTCGCTATGTTGCCCAGGCTGGTCTCAAACTCCTGGGGCTCAGGCAATCCACCTGCCTCGGTCCCCCAAAGCACCGGGATTATAGGCATGAGCCACCACACCTGGCTCAGAATACTTCTTGATGCCTTCTTCTGTGTGCCCACATAACCAGGAAGGCTCCTAAAAGCACAGCGTTTACATAATACATTGACATGTACCTACTGATGTCATAAAATCATCCTGGCAAATATCCAAGAACTAATTTAGGGCCACATAATTCAGGTTCTAATTCAACTTCAAAAATCTGTGGTTTCAGCCAGGTGTGGTGGCTCGTGCCTATAATCCCAACTACTTGGGAGGCTGAGATAAAAGGATTGCCTAAGCTCAGGAAATGGAGGCTGCAGTGTGCTATGATTGTGCCACTGCACTCCAGAGCAAGACCCCAAATCAAACAAAAAAATGTAGTTTCAAAATAATCTCAGAACACTTGAGTTTCTTAAATGGTATATTTCTTAAAGAAAATTTACAAATGACAGAACAGAAGACATCAAGCTATTCTTTTACTTTTGGGAGCGTCACCAAAACAAAATCTTGTTTATTTTATATTTTAAGTTCCACTACGTTTTCAGATGCTCATATGTTCATTCCATAAATATTTCTTGAGTGACAAGTTTATGCTAGGTCCTGTGCTATATACCAGGTTTACAAAGAGGAAAAGCATCTCTGGTCTTACATTTCTCATAGCACAGTAGGGAACTTATAATTATTACTGCTTAAAAAAATCCCCGATCAAGCCATAAGTGTGTCACTTTACAGACTTCAGCATCAAAATTAATTATTAAATTATATTTCTCTTTAATGACTGTCTCTATGCCTCTAGATGAAGCAGTCACTCAATATTAATGATAACCTTACTTTGATTTCCAATGAAATGAATATGTTGCTATTTGTTGTTTAAGGGAAGAAAGAAGAAATGGTATTGAAAGATTTGCATCATGTCAGGACCAAAAGACTAACAGTAAAGTAGAGGTAACATAACACACAGGCTTGAGAATGAGGCAGACCTGGGCTCAAGTTCCAGCTTCCAGAATCTGTGTGGTCTTGGGTAAATGTCTTTCTTACCCTCTTTAAGACTCAGTTTCCTCTCTGGAGATAACAGCTGCTAGTGTCTAGGTTGTTTTGAATACTCAGCATAGTAATGGAAGTTGGTTAAGCATCCAATAAATGTTAACTATCATTATTAGTGACAGCAATAAAATTTATACAACACCATCAAGGTCCTCGGGGACAAAATAACATGTGCTGCTTTATTCATTCTCTAAGCTCTCAACTATAGAGTTTCACATGTCTCAAGTATTCAAATATCTGTTGATTGATGTCACAAAAATACCTTATAGTCATTCCTTCCAAAGGACCTCAAGGTAAATAATGGATACATAGTTTATAAAAAAAAAAAATTGTTTTCGGCCGGGCTCGGTGGCTCAGCCTGTAATCCCGTGCCTTGGGAGGCCGAGGTGAGTGGATTGCCTGAGCCCGCGGGTTCGAGACCCACCTGGGCAGCTTGGCGAGACCTCATCTCTACAATAAAAATAAAAATAAAAAAATTAGCCAGGCATGGTAGCACGCGCCTGTAGTTCCAGCAACTTGGAAGGCTGAGGGTGAAGGATCGCCGGAGCCCAGGTCGAGGCTGCTGTGCCCGGGAGCGGCCACTGCACCCCAGTCCGGGCGACAGAGTGAGACTCCAACTCAAAAAAAAAATTAAAATAAAAAAATAAAATAAATTGTTTTCAGCATTTAAAATACCATTAAATTCCAGTGACAATCACTCTTACCAGCTCGGGCTGAAAGCTGGCCACTGTGGGCAGCCCAGTAACCCTTGACAGGAGACGGGCACTTAACGTTGCAAGTGTGTCCAGTTCCCAGTTGACCTCTTGCTCCACAACCAAATGCATAGATGAGTCCGGAAGAAGGCACGAAGGCTAGGGTGTGCTGCCTGTGGAGACATAACATAACTCATCAGTGTGGTTCCTATGGCTGTAGATGTTCACTCCAACTCTGACTCTTGACTTCCACATGTGAGCACCGTGCAGGGTGGAGCCTCTCCCAAGGAAATATGTGGCCCTTTTTGCACCGCTGACTCTCCAGAACACTGTCCTTCTCTGATACTCTAGGTCATGGGAAGGATGGCAAGTCATGGAAAGAGCAGAATGACCTGCTGCACTTGACCTCTGAGGTAAATGACCTCTGAGAAATGGGAAGAAGAAGGGAAGACCCAGGCAAAATTTCCAGGAAGTTCTTTGGGATGTTCTCACTTTCCTTTTTTCATCTCTTCCCCACATCGTGCTACACTCTATCCCAAAAGAAGCCTAACGCCCTCTGTCACTCTTGCCATACCCTTCTAAGATCTTTCTCCCAGTTTTACCAAGGGTGTGCATGCAGGTAAGATTTCTTAAAATGGTGGTGACTAGGTGTAGTCACATTCTCCATCACCACAAAGACAAGAAAGAGCTACTGTTGAGTCTTAGTAGATAACAGAAACCCTGAGGGGCACTCACCTGCCACACGCAATCTGAGTCACTTCACTACCCATTAGTTCTAACACTCTTCGGGGGTTAACTTCATCATTCATGGAGTCGTGTCCAAGTTGCCCACAGGAACCAGCGCCAAACGTAAATACACCTCCACTCTGGCAAGGAACAAACACCACAGGGCTTCACTCTGCCTCTGAGTTTGAGGATACTCCTCTAAAACCTACATACAAAATTCCTACCACAACAATCTTTACAAGAACACTACACTCGATACTTGGTCAAATCATTTTAGAACATTCATCAAATAGAAAAATAATAAAAAGAGATTTTAAGACCGCGTCTTTATGGAACAAAGACAGCACTGCGCCCTCTGTACATTTTAAAAACTGTTTAAAAGTAAAACGATCAGTTGGGCACGATGGCTCACGCCTGTAATCCCAGCATTTTGGGAGGAGGATAGCTTAAGCCCAGGAGTCTAAGACTAGCGAGACCTTGTCTCTATTTTTAAAATTTAAAAAAATATATATATAGTGATGCGTTAGGAAGCAAATAAAAAAGGAGAAAAGGTGTTAGGTAAAATGAGATGCTTTTGCATGGTCATTCACATATAAGAAATTAAATGTCCCACAAACTCCTTGATAAGTAAGTTGTAAGCTGTTTTTTAACAGGTATATTTGAACAAAGGCATTTTATGAAAGTAAATCTAGAATAATATTTGCTCAATATAAAAATAAATGTTCATTCTCTCTAGAATGTAACTATTTAAAAGCAAAGAAAACAGGTTGATAATTTTAAAACACTAAGCCGCTATTTCTTTTTTATGTATTTAAATGACTTGTTTTAAAAGAACATGGGATATTGTTTTGTATACATACTGTCCTACATTTTTAAGTTATTTATATTGAACTATTTTTAAATGGTACTAAGAGAATCTACAAGGTTACCGAAAAGGAAAACACAGACACATAAAAAAGCAATCTTTTTCTATTCCTTCAGAGAACAAAGGACTAGAAAAGCTGAAGAGTTCAAGCCACAACACTGTAACTATACACCATCACTAATCTAAGGTAATCAGGGATAAGTGTGATGGCTCACATCTGTAATCCCAGCACTTTGGGAGGCCAAGATGGGTGGATCACTTGAGCCAGGAGTTCAAGATCAGTCTGGGCAACATAGTGAGACCTCATCTCAACAACAAAAACAAAAATAATTAGGCAGGCAAGGTGGCATGTGCCTATAGTCCCAGCTATTTGGCATGCAGAGGCGGAAGGATCACCTAAGCCCAGAGGTCAGGGATGCCATGAGCTGTGATTGTTGCGATCAGATCACTGCACTCCAGCCTGGACAACAGAGACGCTGACTCAAAAAATATAAAATAAAAAATAAAATATAAAATAAAATAAGCAATTTTCACGGCCCATTTCACACCCAGCATCACAACAGAGTACTCTGAGCCCCTTACCTTTGTGAGAACTGCAGTGTGCTCTTCTCCACAACTGATATAGACAACTTTTTGCGTACGTAAGAGTTTTACATGGCATGGAGACTCGCGATCTGTAATAAGATAAAATTAAATATCAGAATGTTACTACCATTTACCTTTGAGTGGAACATATAAAATGATCTTGGCTGGGCACAGTGTGAGCACTCAGCTTGTAATCCCAGCACTTCGGGAGGCCGAGGCGATAGGACTACCTGAGCCCCAGGGTTCGAGACCAGCCTGGGCAACTTGGTGAGACCTCATCTCTATAATAAATCACAAAAATTTGCCAGCCAAGGTGGCATGTGTCTGTAGTTCCAGCTACTTGGAAGGCTGAGGTAGAAAGATCGCCTGAGCCCAGCAGGTCGAGGCTGCGGTAGCCGTGAGCATGCCACTGTATTCCAGTATGGGCAACAGAGTAAGACTCCAACTCAGAAAAAAAACATCTTCAAATGATCTTAGCATGAATCCTGGGGTCCCCTGGATTCCTGCCACATATTCAGCTTCCTGTCTGCATCTGCACTTGGACATCTGACAGACTTCTCAGTTTTAATACATCGAACACGTAACTCAGAATTTCCCCACACTCTCCAGTTCTCCCTGCACCCCCACCACACACAGAATTTTCCTTATGTCATAAATGGCAACTTTATACTTCCAGATCATCCTTTATTTCAAGCCACACATCCAGCAATGAGCAAAATTTTACCCCCACAGCCTCCAAGCTGGCTTCCAGCTTCCCTTATCACCCACTACAGTCAAAGTCAAATTGGGTCAATCTGCTCCTCAGAACCCTCCATGTCTTTCCCCTCACTAAGACAAGCAGCAAAATCTTCATCCTTCCCCCCAAGGCCTGGCATGACGGGGTCTATACTACCTCTCTGCCCTCTAGTTCTGTCTCTTCCCTTTGCTTTCTCCACACCACATATCTTCCCATATCAGAGCCTTTACATGCCCTGCTCCCTTTGACAGGAACATTTTTCACCCTGATCTCCATGTGTCTTGCTCCCTACATGACCTCCTACACAGGTCTCTGCTCAAACATCTTATCAGAGGAGCCCTCCCTGACCACCAATGTCCCACAGGAAGCTGCACTCTCCAGTCCTCTGACGTGCTATGTACTTACTGGTTTCTTGTGCTTCCATCCACTACCTACAGCCCCACTAAAAGCCAAGGATGCTCTCTGTTTTGTCCACTGCTGCTCCCTTAGTCCCCTACATGGGGCTGGCACACAGAAGGCCTTCAAGAAGTATGTGATAAACAGAGGCACGTGCTTGTGAAAGCAAGAGGTGCACATGAGGAGCTGACCTACCTCTTTCATCACTGAGTCCTAGCTGCCCAGCATTATTCATCCCCCAGCCAAACACGGCTCCTGAGAGAGACAGGGCAAAGCTGTGAGCCCCTCCGGCAGCCACCTGAGCCAGCGGGATCCCCTCCAGGGACCTCACCCTCTGTGGGCTGGCTTGGGATGGGAACTCCTTCCCCAGGCCCAACTGCCCATGGCTGTTCTTTCCCCAGGTGAAGAACTGGCCATCTAAAATCAGAACAGAGTAACTGGTGTTACACAAAATGATACAAGTTACATATACAAAAATAATCTAGTTATTAACATCACTCCTGCCCCCCACACCACCCCACCCCACCCCACACCTCCCAGGAGCAAGGGAGCAGAGACCCTCACGCAGCAAGACTGCCGAAGCCAACACTCCCACATGACATAACGAGAGAGAGAGGTAAGCTGAGTCCTACTGCTTTTCAAAGGCTACTAACATTTACGTAAATAAAATATTAAATGTTCGAGTAAATTCAATTTTCGACAGGCCAATTACCAGGCTTAAGCAAGGAGAACTAGTCTGACCACACTAAGACCGAGAGATCCAGGACTTCAGGAGGTCCAGCTATGACTACCTGGGTGACTCTGCAGATGACAAAGTAGGATATATACATGCAGATTTCTTCTAACAGAGAGCATGGTGTTATTGGCTGGCTAACTCCTTCTTTTTCATTTATTTGAGAGCTTGATAGTAGAATGTAGCTTGAAAGACAAACCAATCTACCATATGCTCAACAACACCTAAGGACAGTCCTGCCTCCTGCTCATCTTCCCCTGTGAGGGTGAGAGCTTCAGTGATGACCCTCATGTCACTGTCTATATCCTGAGAAAAGGATAAGCTAGGCAAAGGCCATTGAGAACTGCCACTGTCCAATAGCAATGCACACACCCTAACCAGTAATTAAAGGTTTTGAGTTAGGTAATGTCACACAAACATACAAAGAGAAGGGTTTTCTGAGTTAACACAGCATGAGCTAACACAGTATTAGCATACACTGAATGTTACATTACCAGCTGCAAGAGCCAAGCAATGCCAGTTGCCACAGGAAACTTGTAATATTGTCTGCTGGTTCAGCTTCTGTATCAACCTAAAACAAAAAAGGCTTTCTTTTTAAGATGGGCAGTCACACACAAACACAATTAGCAGAAATATTCCCAACTACATAACCTATTTGTTAAGAAATAACATCATCTTGCCTAAAAGACTTTTTAAAATCAAATATATAATCTTACATGTTACAATTAGGTCTTTCGCTAGCTTCCTGTCTCTTAGTTAGTTACTGTCTAAAACAAAAAACACTATGACCTGAGTCTCGTTACCACAATCCTCTGTCAATTCTCATCTCATCAGCTCCAATTCAGGGAGAAAGGAAAAAAGTCACAGAAAAGAGATTCCCTAAGAATATGGCTGGTGTCTCAATGACTTTCAAACTTAGGGGCAATGCTGTGATCCAGAAACTTCACTTCTGAGTATATGCATACAATATGGTACATACATACAACTATTAATCAGTCTTTAACAAGGAAGGAAATTCTGACACACGCTTCAACATGGATGAACCTGAACGACATTGTGCTAAGTGAGTTAAGCCAGTCAGAAAAATTCCACTCCTATGGGATCCACTTATACAAATCATCTGGAGTAGGCCAATTCTTAGAAATGGATTTCACAAGGTAAAAAACGTTCTGGAGATTGGTTACACACAATGTGAACATACTCAACACTACTGAGTTATGCACTTTTAAAATGGCTAAGACAGTGAATTTTACTTATGAGTATTTTACTATGATTTTTTAAAAAAATAAGCATAGTACTTCCAAAGCCCTAACTCCCTAGGATGGTAAAGAGGAGGACCACGTGATTTATTTTCTAATCTTACTCATCTGCTTGCTCATGTGAACGAGAGAGATAAGAACAGAACCTATTTCACAGGGCTGTAGCGAGAATTAAATTAAAGTGCCTGGGACTGCCCAACAGAGCTGGATGTCCAGAGAATGTCTCCTGCTCTCTATTTTCACAGCTGACAAGCTGTCACGCTCATCAGCACTAAGTGTGTTACGCCTTGGGAATGAAGGGGTGAGATGGTGTGTCTTTAGGAGAGGGGTATCTTACAAGACAGAAGTCCCATGAGAGAGCGGGAAGGGGATTATTTAGAGTGACAGTTAGATATTGCTTTTGTTAATATTTTCTTTTCCCAGACATAAAAATTTAAAATGGAGTTCACAATGCATTTAGTACCAAATAGAACTGAACTTTTAAAAAATGAGATAGCAGTAGATTCAGTTACAATTATAAGAAATAATATAGAGATCCCTTATGCCTTTGTCCTGTTCTCCCATGGTAACATTTTGCAAAATTACAGTATAATATAACCAGGATATTGACATTAATACAATCTACTGATCTTATTCATATTTTCCCAGTTTTACTTGTACTCATTTTTGCGTACTAATTTCAGTATCTGTGTAGGTTCATGTATCCACAGCCACAGTCAAGATACCAAACAATTCCAAGACCACAAGGATCCCTTCTCTCCCCTGCCCCTAACCCCTGGCAAACACTAATCTATCCTCCATTTCTAAAATTTTTGTTATCGCCTGGGCAACATAGCAAGACCTTGTCTCTACAAAAACATAGCCAGGCATGGTGGCATGTGCCTGTAGTCTCAGCTACTGGGGAGTAAGGTAGAAGGATCACCTGAGCCCAGGAGGTAGAGGCTACAGTGAGCTGTGACTATGCCACTGCACTCCAGCCTGGGCGACAGAGTGAGATTGTGACTCAAATATAAAATAAAATAATAAGAAATTAAATTAAGTTAATAAAATATAAAATAAATACAATCAAGTTTTGCTATTTTGTAAGTGCTATATAACTGGAATCATACAGTAGGTAATCTTTTGGGATTGACTTTTTTTTACTCCAAATAAGTCCCTGGACATTCATCCAAGTTGCTATGTTTATAAATGATCTGTAGAGCTCCCCTATTTTCTAAAATTGAAAAATGTATCACCACCTGGAGGACCAATGGTTCAGAGGTTGCTATGCAGCATGGCCCATTTTCCTATCCAGTTTCCACCAAATTCCCCACAGTGCTTCTGTCATGGATTGTCGCTACCCATGTCACAAACTTCACAGTCATAGAAAGGGAGCAGGTCAAAAGGACGCAGATAGATACTAAGGAAATTGTACCCTTGAGATGGCGAGGAGGGCGACACAGGTGCAAGTCGACTGTTCTACCTGTTGTCTCATTCTGTCTTTCCCCTGACCCTGCAAGGTATACGATGTGGATGTATATATACGGAATGCAGTATTCCCTGTTTAAGTTAGGAAACTGAGGCTCAGAAAAGTTTCCTCAAGGTCACTCACCTTATAAGTAACAGAGCCAGTATTAGAATCTGTGGCTAGATGATGTCAAAGTTATGTCACTTTCCACAACAGCAAGGTATGAATTAATGAATGTATTTCAATTAATTTATAATATAAAACTATACACAAATCAAAGCCTTGAAAGTCATCCATAATTTAGACATGACTAATGAAAATTAAACTGTTACTGGAACATACACTACTTCCTTTTTAAAAATGAAAAGGCCTTAAAGACCTCAACTGAGTCTTTGGTCATCTTCAAATGAAATACTTTTGTCATTTGTTTTATAAATATGTTCCTAATATTACACACAATATAACTAAAACTTGCACTCCTTTTTTCTTAATGTGATTCCTCCCCAAATTTAAATTAATTTTTGGAATAAATGAATCTAAGACATTCCCCATTCTAAATCACAAAGTGAATTACATCGCTCTTCCCTCCAAGTTCTTCTTTTCCTTAAAACAGCTTTTGATTAAAGGACAAAAATCTAAGGAGTACAAAAAAGAAGGAGAAGAATATGCTGTCCTTTAAAGAGGACAATAATTAGGCAGGAGAGGAGAGGCCATTTCTTAAAAACAAACAAACTGAGCAATGTGTGTGCCAGGCGCTCTGAGTGATGGTGATGCTAAAATGAATAATCCAACTCTCCTGCCATCAAGAACTCATAGCTCTGTCATAAAAATAAACTTTAAATAAATAATTACAAAGAACGTGACAAGTGGAGATATGTGGTACATTTGTTGCATAAAGGAACAATAATTAAATAAGAGAAATAGGCCGGGCGCAGTGGCTCACACCTATAATCCCAGCACTATGGGAGGCCAAGGTGGGAGGATTGCTTGAGCCCAGGAGTTCAAGACTAGTCTGAACAACATAGTAAAACCTACCAAAAAAATCGAAAAATTAGCTGGGTGTGATGGCATGTGCCTGTAATCCCAGCTACTCTGAATGCTAAGGTGGAAGGATTGCTGGAGCCCAGGAGGTTGAGGCTGCCACGAGCCATGATCATTATGGTCACGCCACCGCACTCCAGCCAGGGTGGCAGAGTGAGACCTCGACTCAAAAATAAATGAATGAATGAATGAAATAAAATGGTAGCTTCTTTTATTATTAAGAACCCTCAATAAACTGAGACACCACCCTCAATAAGTCCACCTGAAAGTAACTTCAATATTTGGAATGTTTTCTTAGTGGTGAAGCAATTGGTAGATATTTAGCTAAATCAGCTAAGATTCAGAATTAAGTATTTAAGAGATTTAAACTCCACGGTATTCGTATTTTTGTGTTAAAAGACCTACGTATATTTGACATTTTAGCTGTTTGAAATGCTTAAAGTAATCTGGCCTATTATTAGAGTGACAGGTCAGCCTTGTGATTCTATATTAGGATGCTTAATTGAGTAATTGAGGTTTGCAATTTTAAGTTGAAGGTTAATAAGTCTAGGATGTGAAAGATGCCTTTTTTATTCTAACATTTATCAAATACCAGGTCCCAGTGAGCAACCAGGCTACTAGAACAAATAAAGTATAGTTCCTGACTCACATTTTTTGAACTAGACGCTGATACATCTATAAATAATTAAAACTTTTATGACAAGCGCTTTAACAGTATAAGGTAAGGTCCAGCAGTGTCACACAGGAAACAGCAATTAAATGAAGAAAACAGAACAAAAACAAGAAATCTAACAAATCAACAGCAGGAGCAATATTTAAACAACTGACATTTGAAATCCAAATTCCTCCCTGTGACATTCTTACCTGGGTACTGCCACAGAATCCTCGGTAGTCATGAGCCCTAGTTGACCGTCACTGCCTGCACCCCAGGAAAACAGCTGGCCTCTGTCACTGAGGGCCAGACTGTGGGACTCACCACACGCCACATGAATGATGTGCTGATCTGCCAACGCTCCAATTTGTTCTGAAAGAGACCAAACCAAAGGAGAAAAGTGTAGAGCCTACAACCAGGAATACAGCTCTCCTTACTCAAGGTTATCTTCCCAGACAGTTGTGCTTTTTAAAGAAAATCACTAAGCTGTATATTGATAGAGATTATAAATTTCATATATTTCTGAACACTACCAATTTGATTTAGCTACACCAGGTAGCATATATGCCTGTAATGGCACAGGTACCCCAGATGTTTCCTGGACCTTACAGCCACATGCCTGGTGTTTCTCTATCCCAGGAGAGGTCTGAAGGTTTACTATTTGAAGATGTTGATGCAGAGAGGCCTAAATGTGAGTGAAACTGAGACATATTCCTAAAAGTAGTGAGATGAGTGAAATTCTGCCTGGAGCAATGAGACACCTTCCCCCTCCACCCCCTCCCCCCAACACACATACATCCAGAATTATAAACACCTTTCTCCCCTCAGTTCCAGAACACAGTCTTGCATGTGTCCAGCCAGGAGATAGGAGGATTTCTCTGGGAAAACTTACCCAAAAGAAAAGGCTCACAGATACAGACATCTGTGGGTCCCTCAATGAAATGTCCAGTTTCCAACCAGCCAACAAGAATTGCCCCCACACACACACAGACGCACCCACATTTCAGTACTTCACTCTTAAAATATAAAAGACCAGATGAGAATCACAATATATATGAGGAAAATGTTAACATGAATGACAAAGAGCAACACACATGAAAAGAAAAGAACTCTGAAGAAATAGATCATGCAGGGAGCAGAATATTTTTGTAAAAGTCCTTAGAGAAATAAAAGAAGATATTTTTAATCCAGGAACTAGAGACAGAATTTATAGCAAGGTATCATTCAAACATTCAGAAAGCTAACAAAAATATCTTGGAAACTAAAAATGTGGCAGCATAATGTTTTAAAAAAAAAAAAACCTTCAAAAGGAGGACTGGAAGTAAGAAATGAAGAAAATTTCTAGGAAATAGAAGAAAAAAAGCAAAGAGCAAAGAGAACTTAGAGATTTATTCCAAGAGATCTAACATCCAGAAAGAGAATGGAGAAGACACAAGGTAGAAAATTGCAGAGAAAAAAATACAGGACAAATAAAATATCTACTTCAGAACACTCACCTTGAAATTTCAGAATACCATGAAAGATTCTAAAAGTTGCTAGAAAAGAAAACAGTTTATAAACAACAGAACAGTGATCAGATGGCATCAGATTTCTCAGAAGTAACAGTGGAAACTGTAAGAGGATGAAGCAATGCTTGTGCAATTCTGGAGGAAAACTACGTTCAGGGCAAGAATTTTATGCCCATGATGGTTAATACAAGGTGTTCATGTGACTGGATGGAGGGAAGTATGTCTGTGAGGTGCTTCAGCGGGCTAGGAGGGGAGTCTGCCCTCAGTGTGGACAAGTACCATTGGTTCGGGTGCCAGGACAGCTACAACAGAGTGGGCGGAAGGAGGGTTAAGCAGCCTGCGAGTCTCCTGCTCCCACTCTCCCTTCCCTGGTAGACCTTGGCTTCCTTTCCTCTTGTCCTTGGACACCAGATTCTAGATTCTTCAGTCACTGGACTCTGGGACTTGCACCAGCGGCCTCCTGGGGTCCTTTAGGCCTTCATCCTCGGACTAAGGGCTGTAGTATTTGCTTCCTGGTTTTCAGACTTTCAAACTTGGACTGCGCCAGACCACCAGTTTTCCTCATTGCCCAGTGTGCAGACAGAGCCCCATGGGTCTTCACCTTGTCATCAAGGAACCAATCCTCCATAATAAATTCCCTTTTACATATACATACATTCTACTGGTTCTGACTAATATAATACCCAACCAACTATTTATCAAATGTGAGGAGGTGGGGGAGCAGAAGAGAACAGTTTTCAGGCATGTAAATCTCTCAAAATATTTTACCCCGCATACAGCTTTTCTCAGAAAGCTCCTGGAAGAAGTGCCTCTGAAACAAAGAACTCAGGATCCAGGAAGCAAGAATCTTTTTTTTATTTTTTATTTTTTTTGAGTTGGAGTCTCACTCTGTCGCCCAGACTGGAGTGCAATGGCCGCTCCCAGCCACTGCAGCCTCAACCTGCTGGGCTCCGGCGATCCTTCTGCCTCAGCCTTCCAAGTAGCTGGAACTACAGGTGCGTGCTACCACACCTGGCTAATTTTTTGATTTATTGTAGAGATGAGGGCTCACCAAGTTGCCCAGGCGGGTCTCGAACCCGCGGACTCAGGCAATCCACTCACCTCGGCCTCCCTAAGTGCTGGGATTACAGGCTGAGCCACTGAGCCCGGCCTGGAAGCAAGAATCTTACACAGGATGGAGGTAAAGAACATTTTCAAGACAGCTATGTAGTAGTCTACAAGACAAAACTAGAGGGAAATCACCAAGGTGAAAAATGAAATACCATCTGAGGAGTTTTACCCCATTATGCGTTTTACAATTCTACCAGACAGTATAGAGGTTCCCATGAAGAAGGCGAAAAAAAGACATAATTAACTTCAGGCAAAACTAAAGGTTTTATGGGAAAGAAAGGCAATCATGATACAGGAGTCATAATAGCTAAACAAAAATAATTTACATAGTCAATAATCTAATTGTCAAAACTGATTTAAAAGATAAACTGTTTGGGGAAGGACAAAGTGCCAGGGGGTAAAGAGGAAAGGGTGGGTATATTTAAAAGAATCCCAATCTTCCCTGGCATGAACTCTCCAGATTATGCACAACATTGAAGAAAATAAAGAAACAGCATCATACATATGTTATTTAGAAACATGAAGGTAAATACCAAAAGGAAAAGCTAAAGAGTTTATGAGAGTCTCCAGGAGTAGATTAAAGGGTGGGAGCTGGGCACAGTGGTATGCACCTGTAATCCCAGCACTTTGGGAAACCAAGGCGAGAGGATGACCTGAGCCTAGGCGTTTAAGACCATCCTGGGTAACATAGTCAGACCGTGTCTCCACGCAAAAAAAAAAAAAAAAATGCTGGGCGAGGTGGCATGCAGCTGTAGTCAGAAGGACCACTTGAGTCCAGGAGGTCAAGGCTGCAGTGAGCTGTAATCATGTCATTGCACTCCAGCCTGGGTGACAGAATGAGACCCCAACTCAAGAAAAAAAAGGAGTGGAGAAACAAGTGAGGCAGGGAACTGCTACTTGACCTAAAGCCAAATTGTATAAATACAGTCCTTGAGAACAATAAAACTTTTTTTAAAAATTAAGCAACTGAAAATACACTTGGAGAGATCATCATAATAAACAGAAAGATGCTGTCATTTCTCTTGTTCCCATTGACCATCTTCTTGAACCTCTACTTGCTACCCGCTCCCCAGCTCAGCCCTGTCCCAGGAATGAAGAACAATACTGCCTTTATGTTGCAAAAATGTAAGGCACCCCTATCAAAGTAGTTCAGGCGACTCAGACTCAACTCTGACCAAATTCCCACCTTGTTCCAGCTCCAGGACTCGGGCTGCTTTTCTGTCCTCCCAGGCATGGGGTCTGGCCAGACACCTCACTCATGACTGAGACCCACCTCTCAGCTGATCCTCCTGCTGCGAGCCAGTGCCCTTTCTTGTCTGGATGTTAGCACATGGCCTAACCCACACTAAGAAGCCTTTCCCCTGACCAACAGGACACTGTACGTCTAGTCTGTCAGTCACTTTCTTGCCTCCAATCTGTCTGTAGGATCTCTCTCTTGATCCTGTCTTCACCACAGCTGTGTAGCCTCCAAAAGGAAGGTCTGGAATTCAGGGACCACTTTTATGCCTAGTCAGGTCAAGCTCAGGAAAACCAATTCCTGTCCCATCATGAATCAGCCACCAAACCAGACATCAAGCCACCCTCAGCACAACAACAAAACTCTTGCAGCTGCAAGAGGATACTGTTCTGTAAAGCAACGATAGTGAAGAAGCAAACCACTGGTTACTCAAGTCCAATTTATTCTTTTTGTTCTAGCCAGAAAACTGTGTTCATCTGATTCAGGCTGGAGCTCCGTCACCTAGGAACTAGGATCCCTCAACTAGAATCTCCTCCTAGGTCAGGCAGATATGCTGGCAAATGTCTCATTCACTCCTCTCCCTGCAGACACCCTTGCCCCAGCTGGGTACGATCAGGCTGCAGTGCCTTCCGATTCATTTCCACACACGGTCTCCTCTGAATCATTCTGTTAAGACTATATACTCTATTTTGCAGATCATGATAGAACCTCAGCCCACACATTAAAATAATTAAACACACTGAAGAAACATTTGGCATTTTTTGAGGATAAAAGTATATTTTATCTCTCTGATCCTCCCATAGCAACACTTGAAAGTCTTTAGCAATGTTAACCAACTCTGAACAAGCTATGGAACAGCACAGTGGCCTACGTGGAGTGCTGCCTAGGGCAAGTCAGACGCTTAGCTGGACTTAACGATTGCAAGTATTTCTACTTGGCTTTTGAGTTCATCATAATTTTTAATTGTTTTTTTTTTAGTTAATGGCAAATCTGGCATTAACCCATCACAGGATGGTAATGGAGAAGGCGAGTATGAGCCCAGAGGGTTAGCTGAATGACACTGATTCTTAACCCTAGCAACAACCCTGTGAGGGAAAGGCACCATAACTGTTCTTGGCTCAGAAAGAGTGTGTAACTCAGCCAAGGCTCACAACCAGGGACTGGTGGAACAGGATGCAAATCAGGACTGTCTGACTTCAAAGTCAGGTAGAATGTACCCACTAAGATGTACTGTCTTGCCTCCTAGAAAAGAACTAGGCAGATTTCAAATTGGTAAAAGTAACCTATAGAGTGAATACTCAACTTGAGGATAATGAAGAATTCTTTTCCCTCAGTCTGTTCAGATGAGAAACTCACCCAGCAGCTGAGTTGAAAATATCAGCAGCCAGGTGGAAAGACAGCAGTCCTCCCTCATCCAAGGTTTTCTTTCCACAGTTTCAGTCACCCAAAGTCAACTGCAGTGCAAAAATCTTAAATGGAAAACTCCAGACGTAAACAATCTGTAAGTTTTGAACTGC